GACACTTTGTAATAGACCACTGCGTTTAAAAGATAGTTTTATATTTGGTGTTTATTAAAATCGTTTTGAAGAAGTACAGAGTTCTCTATTCTTGTGGGCCTTCATGTATGCTGCCGCTTTTAGGCACAATGTCAATGAATACATTCGAGGTCGCCAACTTTGGGATCTTGGTATATCTAAGTGGGTTTTAAGAGCAACTTTACTGCAACCGATGACACATTAACATGCATGACAGTGGAAATGGTGCCACGCGATATCGCAGTTAGATATCAATCATGGCAGCCCCGCCGTCACCCAGGGCTCAGTAGCATAAGTCGCTGGCTCATACGAGTGAGGTCATTGGTTCTCATTCAGCAGGATCCGGAGGGTGGGCGTTACTGCCAATTCTCAGTTGGACAAAAGGACTGTCTGGCGTTTTCTTAGATGTGTGATAGCAATCTGGCTGAGTCTAGCTGCGAGGAATCTTCTCAGAAACCCAATATATACCAATACTACTCACTACGATGAGTTAGGATATAAAATTGTCAATTCCGGTATTATACTGTTCTTCTGGCGGAAATTCTCAGGAGGTTTCCTGTCGGAGGTTAGCAAGTTCACCTTGCGCTTTCATTAGGCCGACGGTTTATTTGCATTCCCTTTTACTATCGTTGAATTCCACCGATACCGAATGATTGAGGCTTTCCAGTGGATATATCATAGTAAATTCGAGAGTCCGAGTTGAGATTTCATTTCAACTGATTAAACAGAGGATCTGTATCTTGATGGGCAGCGATGTCTTCTAGCTTGATTGCTTGGCGCGAAACCTCGTGAAGGCCAATGCCGGACAGTGCGTTGACTGCAACACTGAGAGCTGCCTCAATGTGTCGAATTTGGTGGCAAAACTCTTATATATAATCCAACTGACGAGTTTTTCGAGGTGAGAAGCGATCAGAGGAACCACACGCCGTGCCACTGTGAGAAGTCTCAGCCGAGACGGCGGCACGAACTTTCATCGAAACTTGGATATCCGTGTTTGGCACCCCGCCACTATCACCACGGATAGAAGACCACATTTTCATTCTGCACTGTTTGGCGACCTTAACGGCATGCTTGGCTGTTCACATTTCCGCACGACTGCATAACATCCGGCTGCTTACGGTTTATTCTACCATTTTCACAAATAACTCAACGCCGCACTCACTGCGACGCCATCGAATATCCAGTGGTCGGAGTGTTTACCGATCATTCTCCTCGGTATCTGCAACACTGTGAAGGAATTTGTCGGTTTTTGTCCCACTGAATTAGTCTTCGATACGACACTGAGACTTCTTGGAGAACTAGTACTAGATTCCAGGGTCACCGGCGAAGTCGATCCTACATCATGTGTTGCACGACTGGAACAATACTTCAGCGCCATTTGTCCAACGCCACCGCGATTCACTTCTCGAAACCACCACATTCACCCCGACTTGCACATGTGCCCCTTCGCTTTCGTACGCATCGATGCGGTTCGTAAGCATTTGACACCGCCTTACGCAGGCCCATTCAAAATTATCGCTCGCAAGGAGACGTATTTTGTGTGGGACAGAAATGGTTCCAAAGACTCTGCCAGTATGGATCGGCTGAAACCAGCCTACGTCGAATTCCAGTCACCGCAACAGAGTCCCGACACTGATGCTGAACAAACTCCGCCACAGAGCGCTCCACCCATTCAACCGATGTGCGGTTCCAGTGCACCCTCTCCTCCCCAAACAGTACTTGTCACAAACTCAGACATACAGAAACCTACACGTTTTGGAGGTGCAATTATTCTTCCTTCTAAATTAGCTACTCACGTCAGATGGTCCATATCGAGCTTTCAGCACATTGACTGAAGCTCTAAGGCACAGGAGTTGTGTATTTGCAACGAGTTTCCTCGACATTACATGAAAACGGATATCCAGAGAAGTTCACAGCACGCATTCAAAGGCGAACGGGAGTACTAGGAACGAAGGGTTGCTCGATATCGCTAAGCAAAAGGTGTACATAACGCTACCATTCAAAGGCGACCAAAATGACAGGAGATTCCGATACCGTCACCGTCAATCTATGAAAATGTGTTATTACACCGCTGAGCTTGTGCTTTTGCACCAAGGTAACAAGTTGCTGTTTAACTCCAACCTAGACAGGCCAGTGTATTGCTTTGCCGCCTCAATCACATACCTGTTTCACTGTACTTGCAGTAGCGAGTACGTTGGCCGAACTGAGCGCACACTATCCACAAGGATTTCAGAGCATATCCCTCGAGACCTGATCGCGAGTGGTCAAACGCTGCCTGCCAGTCCGATCGCCGGACACATGCTTGACGGCTCCATGTATGAAAACACTCAACTCCTTAAGCATACTTTCAGTTGACTGAGGCTTCGGTAATTAGTCGGCTGCAACTCAGTTTGTGTACCTAGACAGATTTTATCGCCAGTCTCGTGCTATGTTGTCGAGGCCGGTGACCACATTCCTCTAGGCGGAGTACCAGCCAGCAGCAGATATACTTTGACCGTAGCCCACTTATGTGGAGGTACTCTCGGCCGGGTCGTATGCACTGATCATACAGCAACTCACCGACACCTATGGTAACCAGTGTCTATGATATACCTAAGTTTGTTGGAACGGTGTGTGACATGTCGTCGCACTATCGGTAGCTCTCTATGTACTGCATAACGACCGGTTAACAACACGTGGTCCATCACTGCATCGAGAACCTACTGTAACCATTGCTATTCCCGAGTGAAGCTTTGCAGAGCCAGAGGCAATTTCAACTGAAAGCCATGGTGTACCCCACTCGGGGTGAGCCCACATTGCTTTTTAAGAAACATATTAATGAACGTTAACAATAAATATATCAGCGATGTTGAATGGGTTACAGATCGAGTAGGTTAAAAGCACGTGTATAGTTACTTCGTACATGCTACACCACTTATAGATCATGGTGCAGCGTCACGCAGGCACGTGTTTCCGCAACAACCTGCTCCGAGAACTGCATCCTCCATTCAGTCTTGCTCACTAAGCCATCCGCATCCCCTCGGAGCATTTCGGAATATCGTGGTTCGTTTAACGTAGGCCTTAATGGTACTCCAAATGCTTTCGAGCGGGTTCAGTTGCGGAGAGTACGGTGCCAGTCGTAGAAGTCTTCCTGAGCTGTAAGGCTCCTCTTGGAAAATACGCTCCAGATCGGTGTGACAGGAAGCATTAGCACAAATAAGGAGACAGCTTTCGAGAAAATGGATGTCACTGGTATCAAGCAGTAGACGCAACTACCTCGCACATCTTTCTTGATTATAAATACCTCTTAAAACGGAATATCCGCGCAATCCCTCCTCATTCACCACGCTGATTAGGTGCAGATTTTGTCCCCCAGTCTTCGGCATCATACAGTGCGCACGGGTGCCACGTGCGAGTGCAGAACAGCTTAAAGTGCCTCTCATCTATCCACACTGTTCGCCGTCCTTCTTCCTCCTAGTTCAGTTAATTGAACACGTACGCCTTCCTTAGTCTTTTGCTATCCATCGTATTCATGGATTCCGGTATTGCATGTAATTGTTTCATTGTCATGAGGTGATGGTCTAGGTAGCGGGCGTTTGTGCTGACTCTCAGATCCATCTCGAACTCCGACTTCAGTCGTAACCGAAGAGTTTCCAAGGTAACCATAGGGTCCGATTCCACCCATTCCACCAAGCAATCCACGTGACTGTCTGACAGACACTTTCGACGCGACACATTACGATCTCTTGTCGGCTCATACAATTCTAATGTTCCAATCCAGCTTCTACATGTCTTCACATTTACTCGTAACAAAGAGGTAATGCCCTTCCAGTCGTTGCCCTCTTCATATGTCTTCAGGATCAGAGGCTTTACATCGGACGAATGATGGGCGTACGTTCCTCTTCTTCCCAGCGCGCGTTATGTGATCTGAAGGTCAAAAAACCATATAAATCAAAGTACAGACACACTTGGTAGGTGAACTATGAGAAAGATTTTCTTTTCGCCTTGCCCGCTGCGTGCGGTTCCCGTGCAACCAAACTGGGGGAAAGCAGAAGTGACAACGCCGCTGACCAGAAACGGACTATCGGAACCGTATGGACGTTTCCACTAATAAGTCAGACGCGAGAAATTACCTCGACGTTCCGGAACTAAACGTATGCCCCAGTATGCCAAGCGCGTATGACGTCCGCTGTTTAGCCATTACTTTGTCCCGCTCAGGCCATTGGGCGTAATGACCCCGAAATTTTCGCCCCAACCACACATTCCACACGTGCGCACACGTACGTAACCTCTCCCATGCAAGGTCCACGGCTGACCGCTCAGTGAGATCTGGATTAAATTTATCCGGGTATTTGAGTAAATCTTTTGCATTACGGACGAAAACTGCTGAGTAAAATCTTACACGAATTGCGTTAAGGCTGAAACCAATCGAGAAATGGTGTGGAGGGAGTGTTGACTAGATGCACTTTCCTCAGATGCCTCCAACTTTATTTCCAGCTCCAAGGGTGTCATTTATCGCTGGAAGAGATGCAGTCAACAGGTATTATGCCAGCACTGGGCACAAAGGGCAGTCCCATCGTAGAGCTGATCACACAACATTTAACTACTACCCTGCGTGCATCTAAGTTTGATGTCTCCCCAGGCGTTTCAGTAAAGGTATGCGTATGGAACGGGTGTGATTTGTCGTTGATCTACTCATGGCTTTGATCTTCACTCTCTCCGGCCAAGTTTCCTCTGGTTTACGTTGGTTATATGATGTGATGGGAAGTCCAGTAGCTTTCCGGTTCCACAGCGACATCCGTATGTGGAAGTTAACATAAAATCTTGCGGAATACTTAGGGTTGAACACTATTCAGAGGAGTACCATTACTAGCTGAAAAACACATTCACACCTTCCGTAAGCTGCGTCTGTTCGAATGATTGCGCTGCATGTTAATGGAAATTGCTCATGCGACAAACATGTTTTTATGCCTTGTTTCTCTTTCGGTCGTTTCTAAAAACAGGCTGGAAATCATGTCACTAGATCGCACGTATGAAGGACTTTATACATGTGAATGCCAATATACCGGCTCGGTGGAACCTGCACGTGTTCAGCGAATACTTCGTGTTTTTGGTGAGTCCTTTTGCCTTGAAATACAACACGGCTAAATTGCCTATCATCATTTTGAGCCCATGTTCTTTAAATCAACTTCCGAAATAGCTTTTCTTTACTTATGACTCATAAATGTGGCTTTAACCGCGACCATCGAGAAATCCAAACGCGCACTAATGGTGGTAGGTGTTGGTTAGTTTCACATGGCTAAATGTCAAGGTCTCAAGTTCACTAGACGGTAATCTACCATACAAGATGAGGACTGAATTGTAACATGGTCCCCAAGGGGTTTTAGATGATGGACGTCTCCTTACTACAGTAATAACGGGTGAATTTATAGCAGTGATCTCAGTGGATTTTATAGTCCTTTCTGGTTTCACCTTCAGGTTAAGTAGGAGGCCTCTCGTTTTCGCATTGCTAACTGTTACGGGCCCGTCAAATATCCCCGCAAAAACGCGCCAGAAACCCCGGCAGAATGGCTGGGGAAAGCGAGGTCCAATTCCTCCCCACAACGCAGCAGCGTTCAGTCACTCCGAGACGCGGCGCAACTGCGCACCTTTTGACAATGCTCTTTTACAAACTACCACTTCGTCGTGGTAGCAATTTTCCCTAACTTAATAACCCATTGTATTCGCCCTTTCTTGGTCGTAAACGAGCTTTCAGAGGACCACTTGCCTTTCTTCCTCTTCGCCTTACTTGGGAGTCGGTCAAGTACGTGATTTTGTGTACGTTGTTAGCCGGGCAACGTTCGCGTCTAAGTCACTAGCGCGCGTCTACCGTAACCCCCTCTCGTGTGTGTCCGTTCCGAGGGCTCAGCGTCTACCCGAATACGTGCGGCTAGGATCGTTCTCACGCTCGCTCAATTTCCGTCTCACCAGCGCGTACCCCGGGCTAAGCTAACGCCGTCAGGTCAGCGCAAATCCGTTCGATTGGCCATCGTTCCAATCCGTTACCGTAGGCGTGCTCCAACCATGCCAGTGACAATCTTATCAGACATCTACACAATCATAACAGAGGCGTTCCCTCAACTATAACACTAACAAACATTTCTAGTGGGTACTCGGAAGAATGTGAAGCTTCTAATAAATATTCAGATTGAGTAGAGGAATACAATCACATGGGACGAGAAAAAGTACGACGCAGTTTTTATTACTCTAAGCGGTGCAAACCAACCAGTTTAAATTCCAGTCCTTTGGATCTCTTTCACCTTCACGGTTCATCTGCGCAGCGTGTTCGTTAATCTCATTTGTTCGTCTATGTTCAAGGGTCCCTGAAGTATGCTCCTGGCCAGATAGTAAATGACGATCTGACGTTAAGGTGATTTGCACACACGTCGGGACACGCACGCGGGGTGGAGTGGGATTCACTAGCGTTGGGGTGCGAAAGTACTTGCGGCTATCCACCGTTACCATTTGAGCTGGGTTGTTGGTGAGATGTAGTCCGCACGTTGGAGCTAGAATTCGGTGGTAGGGAAGCAGACTTACAGATCCTATTTGGAAGTAGAGTTCCAACTACCGCAAAGAGTTGTAGATTGCGATGGTATGGAGCTGTTCAGGTGGTCGTGGGATAGAGCTAGTAATTTCGAGCCGAATGATTTTAATTTGTTTGTTATGCATTTAGATGGGTAAGAAAAAGAAGAGCAGAGCACAGAGTGGTCTGGAAAATTTTGGAGAGTTTTCGCAAAAACCATCAGATATCCTTCAAAATTCTTTCCGATTAGGAAAAGAAGACGCAAAGCACGATTAAGTGGCAAATACTAGTCCTCAATCCGTTAAGATTGCACGTAGAAAACAAGCAATGGGTCAGAACTTCGGCTTTACGTCTGCTGTCCAGCGTAATCGCTGTACCACAATTGTCCGTGAGGAATAATTAGTACACCAGTAGTGCCTGGCGAAGAGCTTTTGTGAAACCTTTTGCCCCCTTTAACCACATCATCAGAGCAGAAAGATGACAAGTATCACTGTATGTTAACATTTCGATTGCTGTCGTCAGTCGCGATCACAATACACACAAGCAGTATACAAGAGTACAAACGTAAAACCAATGTACATGCACAAAAATTAGTAGGATAACCAGGACCACGATAATCTAACTGATTGGTTCAATTGATTTTGTGTGCGAAGCGCTGTACGCTTCTTGATGAGCAACGGCGCTTTGCCGGTTGCCAGCCGTTTCGAATTACTATCACGCAGGAGTATTTTGAAAGCAGTCGGTGTGTCCACTTTTCACGTTTGTACTTTTGTATACTGCTTGTAGGTGTTGCCTCCTTGACTTACAAGAGTAGTCAAAACGTTAACATATCGCGATATTTGGCTTCTTGCTGCGCTGAAAAGTTTTTATGCCAATAAGCAGCTATTTTGCGTGTATGTTAACGGCCTTACTCCATTGATCTCAGCAGATGAATGGGCTCAAGGTGCCGAGGATGTAGCCAGTACTGTAATGCTGCAGTTTGCTCCAACATTCCGACTTGCCACTAGATCCTGTCACATATAACCCACTACTCAGAGTGAATCAGTAATCCAACTTTGCTTCTCTCTGTATTTTGATATTCTCTGATAGTGTGTGCACCTTATTGAAGATCTGTCGGATGTTATGATAAGCGACGAGTGTAGTGCACTGGAAGACCTCGAACGGCTTGTGAAAGATACCTGTTATAATTGAGGGAACGCCTCTGTTATGATTGTGTAGATGCCTGATAAGATTGTCACTGGCATGGTTAGAGTACGCCTACGGTAACGGATTGGAACGATGGCCAATCGAAGGGATTTGCGCTGACCTGACGGCGTTAGCTTAGCCAGGGGTACGCGCTGGGGAGACGGAAGTTGAGCGAGCGTGAGAACGATCCTAGCCGCACGTATTCGGGAAGACGCTGAGCCCTCGGAACGGACGCACACGAGAGGGGGTTACGGTAGACGCGCGCCAGTGACTTGGACACGAACGCTGCGAGGCTAACGACCGACTCCCAAGTAAGGCGAAGAGAAAGAAGGCAAGTGGTCCTCTGAAAGCTCGTTTACGACCAAGAAAGGGCGAATCACAGCCAATGCAATGGGTTATTAAGTTAGGGAAAATTGCTACCACGACGAGGTGGTAGTTTGTAAAAGAGCATTGTCAACAGGTGCGCAGTTGGGCCGTGTCTCGGAGTGACTGAACGCTACTGCGTTGTGGGGAGGATTTGGACCTGGTTTTCCCCAGCCATTCTGCCGGGGTTTTTGCGGGAATATTTGGCGGGCCCGCAACAATACCTCACGCGGGAAATTTTGTAGTGGTTTAGGTCTCAGTGACTGCAGACAACATTTTCCAGCTTGAAAGGCGTAATTCGTAGTGGCCCAAAATATAATTAGAGTGGGAAGCAAGAGGCACCTAGCTGAGTGCAACGGTCGTTAGGCTCTCCGTCATGTATTATTGCAGATGTCGTTACTATCAGTTCACATCAGTTCAGTACAGTGGAACAACTATGATCCTAGCACCGAAGTGCGGTGGATCCAATCGCCACGACTTACACCGTAAGAATAACAATAAATAACACTGGTACGATAGTTGGATTGGAAGCAAATAGAATGTAGTAAAAATAAAAGCAAGTGGGGAATGCGTTAGGATTATCAGAACGGAACGAAAATCAACCATCGTGAAAGAAACCGAATAAATGAAAGCCACTGGCTTCGTGACCGCACCATGTCTGACACGGTCTCCGACCATTGCTCTGGACCGTCCCGAACTTTTCATCTAGGAAGATGGCACGCACCAGCCTGACCAAGTCTCTCAGTCAATTTTTTCATGCCTCTGTGCCACGTCATGGTGTGGCCACGTGGCAATTTCGTCCAACTTGGTCCGACCATGGCGTACGATGCACGCCGAGGAAGTCAATCAATGGGCATACGGAGGACATAGCCTAGCCAATGCAAGTGACTAAGATTTAACCAGCACCCGAGTGTTGCACCAGAAGGCTTTTCGCCAAAAACCAACTGACGGACCTTAGCATTGCTCACCCGGTGTTCCCACCAGATGTGAGAAATACTTCGCAAGCATCGGTGGTCAAACACGACGAAGCGTTAAATACATTCGTCGCGAACTGGCCAGGTCTCTGATCCATACAGTAACACAGTCCTTATCGCAGCGTAATACACTCTACCTTTCACTAATATGCTGATACCTCACCGTCTCCATAGATGGGTGAGCCTCTGGAAAGTCACACAGGCCTAGCTGAATCGGGAAATAACCTCTTCAGTGATGTGATCACCAGAGATGACTAAGCTACCAAAATAAGTGAACCGATTCACCACTTCCAGGGGTTGGGCGGTGATAGCTAGAACCTGAGGTGTGTCAGTCCAGTCCTGCAACAACACTGCAGTTTGGCAGTGCAATGTGCATACCGAAGCGGGCAGCGCTACGCACAAGTCTGTGCAGTAGTGTTTGCATAACCAACACATCAGACCCAAGGAGAACTAAGTCGTCCGCATACTCCAGGTTTGTCAGTCGGTCACCCGGTAGAACTTCCACCCCAGTAGAACGGGTCACTGGTGCTCATTTCGATAATAAAATGAGAGAGAACAGACGATAGTCAGCTCACATATTCAATTAAGAAAAAGAGCTCTTCCAGTTATTTTAAAATATTTGACAGCACGTGTCGAATAACATAGACGGATGTAATGAGTCACGAGCTGTGTGATCTAGTCATCTTCCTGTGGCCAATAAGCAAGTATATCTGTCTATCCATTTCTAACCAACTCAATCGATTTGCGTCAACAGCAAAACCAAGTATCATTCACCACTTGTCATCCTACAACACTGATTCCGATGTCGGGGATCGTGTGGTGCTCGAGTGTGCTGCCGACGGAATTCCTACACCGGTGATCTATTGGCAACGGACTGGAGGACCAAGCAGTATTATCCGAAACTATGGACTTACTAAAAACGTAAGTATTGAATGTGCCTTGCCATTATCTGGTCCTGCAACCAGACATGTCTCTGTAAAGAGGTTAAGAGCCTCTCAGTTTCAAATAACCTTGCAGCGCATGCTTGGAATGAATCGAGACAACAATCGGTGACTTCTTCTGTCCATTATGTGAGAGATGGACAATGGCTGGAACCCAGAACACTCTCTGTGCATTTTTATGAGTTTGCAAGAAAGATGTTGATAATAAGAACTTTAGTACGCGGCCTTATACACGGAATCGAACCTGCTTTTAATCCCTTTTGTTGGCCCTACAACAGAGCTGGTGTTAAACCGTAAATTTTGTGGTGGATGCATTTAGTGACTCGGCGATGAACGCTCATGCAGTGGTTGGACGAAGCAGTTTAATGTCACGGTGAGGTCAGTGTCGAGGATAACATTCAAAGATAAACATCCTTAGTAAGGTTTCTGGGTGTGCTATTTTGCGCATGGAATTTTCCTAATAGCCCCTAACTTTTCCTTCAAGTGTCATCAAAAGGATCTTGTGCAGCCATCCGGTTAGCGCAACTCTTCATTTGGTCTTATTTTTAAATGCCCCGGGAGTTTTGATCCACTTTGCTTACACTTAGCTTCACTCGCAAAATTTTTTTGGAAAAATCTAACTAGGATAAGTTTAATCTTCCACTCATTTCGAGTAAGGTAAACATTAGTGGATTCGGGTTATAAAAACCGGGACCTGGAGGTAGCAGATGGTATGATTCGAGTTCTTATCCGGTGTGCTAATCAACACAGCACCTCAAGCGGAACCGGGTCCAGACCACATGTGGACACAAATGCAAAACCGTTAACGGCTGTGCATCAAGGCTACTTGAAAAACTGGGTTGAGCTGCTTAATAATATTGCGTTACTGGAATGGGATCATACTACGCTAGATTCTTGTTCCAGCTGTCCAAGGGGATAAACTTTCTGGAGTGCCTGTACCCCAACATCCGGTTGTATTGTCAGCCTCGAACAATGCTTAGGTTACCGATTGTTGTCCGCTCTCAGAATTTCGGTACGTGCGTTACCGCATAAGTACAGCTCATGTGCCACGTTTACATTCCACCATGCATACTCTATTGAACCGCCCCAGATGTGGCTAGCGTTCTCATCTACCCAGGACTGTCGTCCGAAAGACGATGGGGGTCCGAAGGACGATTAACATGTTTGGTTGGATACACTAGCTGACATGATGAGGAGCCGATCTCAGTAGCGTTTAGATTGTGAGTCACTTTGTTCCTTCCCTCCCTTTTAGCTTCCTCTTCCAATAACGATCTCAACCCAACACATAATGCGATCTTAGCATTATGTTACCATTTTATCACTCGTAGTCTTATTGTTCAACCTTTTGTTCTTTTTGTATTGCGACACTTTAACTCAGGTGTATTTCTTACCCTCGATTAAGGTGTATTTATGATGCGCAGCTTCTTCTGTACGTTAACACAGAGTATGGGAACTTTACCGTTTGTGGTTGAAACTAGACACTGGGTTACGACTGAACCCGGGGTAGCTTGAGAGATTTCATCTCCGTGACATTCTTTGTACAGTTGGGAGAGGGGACTCGCCAAATGGAGATATCTGATATGTGATCTCGTTTCTTCGTAGACGGCATATGTTTATGGTTCGGACATCGGTTGGTGTAGCTTAGGCCCTAACTACTCCCAGGGTTTCAACTTGGTTCTCTATGAACAATAAAACGATACCTCTCCACAGCTCATATACTTACGCCATTTCATTATAGCGTCTGAGTCATAAGAAACTGATTTTACGCAGATTTCATCACATGCAATTCTCCATCAATGAAAATCGACAGTCACCGGCAATTTTTGATCAACAGAGTTGGTTATTTCCCCAAACCACAGATTCACTTGTCTCTAATATCGCACTAACGCGATACTACTTGTTATCTACCAAGTACCATGTTTCCTGGCAATTTGAACATCTCGGTCAACCACATCAGTTAAACGGGTGATCGGTTGGAGGGGACATTTTGAAGTACTCGTTGTGTGAATGGATTGCGAAGCGAATTTGACCGCGAGGGATAGCTCATGTGTGGTGGAAACACCCCATTTGTAACGGCGATGTTAGACATCGCGTTTTAGGTAATACGCACCTCCATCACGAAGGGCGAGTACTGCTGCCCCAGCTGAGATGGTTGGGTCACCTCTTACGCATACCGCGTGAGTGACTACCACAGCGTGCTACCTTCTCTGGCACAAGACTTCACCATAAGCAATCGCGCGGAAGACATGACAACAAAATATTAAAGCGCTAACCTGTTTAGTCCTTCTGGGCCCCGCACGTTTTTCGGGCTGGGAAGCCAAGGATGAAGAACACCGATGATTGTAATCCCTTTATGATCTGTATATATATATATATATATATATATATATATATATATATATATATATATATATACCACTTTCACTTTGAATTGGAGGTTTTGAAAACTACTTGGACATTTTGCAAACAAATGGACGTTTTGTAAAACAAAATGAACTTTTTGCAAACCACTTAGGACGTTTTGCAAAACAAAACGGACGTTTTGCAAACCACTTTAGACGCCTTGCAAAACAAAATGGACTTTCTGTAAACCACTTCGGGCACATTGGATTTTAATCAAAAATCAGCAATTGACTTCCAAGGAATGAGTACTAAGGTGACTAGACAATCTTTAGACTACATTGTAGTCATGCCAATGAAACCGAATTGTGTAACCAGCGGATCCCACTCCAAACTCTTCTTTTGATCGTGGACCTCAATCGCCTCGATCAGAGGCAGCGACTGAGCATCCCCCTATCTCTCCATCTATCTTCTCGCAGTATATGTGCTTCTGACTTTACACATGGACCTGTGTAGATATATGAATATTGGAAAATCAGGCTCCCCAACTGCACGGTTTATCATGACTTAAATGTTACCAAGCCTTGGAGAGTCGCCGTGAAGCGCTCGTTTGGAGAATGAATTACGATGTGCCATCTCAATGTGGACCGCGATTCCCACTGAATTAAACCTTGGCCAATTCGATCACTTTTACCTTAACTGATGTAGTATGTAGGCGGCGATCCACTTGTCCCCTGTCACTCTATGGATCTTCGCGTATTTTATCTGGACCAACCTAATCAACTGCTCGACTATTGGATCATTGCAGGTTATCATGACTCCATCAAACACAGCATAGCTTTATTGGTCTATCGTTGCAAGTCGTTATCAAAGGAAGGCATTGCAAGCGAATTTTTGATCTTTTGCTTAGTATCCAATATATCCAAAGTGGTTTGTAAAATGTCCAATTTAAAGTGCAAATGGTATATATATATATATATATATATATATATATATATATATATATATATATATATATATATAATTTTATATATATATATATAAGGCTGTTTCTCACATGGACCATTATCTGTTGCGTGTTCTAGAGCAGGCAAACCTGACAATCTCCATATCTGCACGGACAACGGAACAAAAAGATTTTGTATACCCACAAGTATTGTAAAACTACATCTATTAGAAAAGTTCGTTTTCTCTTTACTTGCTTTCGCATTCAAGCACACTGAGCCACAGTAACGCGTGGCCGGGTACACATAATAATAATAATAATAATAATAATAATAATAATAATAATAATGAAAGGCGTCCAACGTGACTCGGCAACATTCAATCGGACAGTTTTCAAGGCACTGTTTCTTAGATCTATCAAGTAAGAAACGCCCACAACTTTCGCTCATTCGAATTGCACACTCAGCATCAGGAGAAGAAAACCACACTACTACTACTACTACTAATAATAATAATAATAATAATAACATTTCTACTATAATTTCGCAGTCTGACTGTACCAAACCCGTCTATGATAGCTGAATTAGTATCCCCACGAACTTGGTGGCAAAGCTAAACAGTGACTGGCTCCCTATATTAGGTGTAACTAATCCGCTTCAAGGAAACCGAATAACCCGCGTACTAGCACGACCAATACATCCATGAATAACAAAACATCTTGCTTATTTTACCTCAAGGCGTTCGTGCATCCTTTTTGCAGTTAAAAGGCAGGGACGCTTGCCTTATTATCCTGGTGTACCGCGCCCCTAACTCAACATCCGAAACCGACTACCACCTAATGGCTGCTTTAAGGTGCAGTTTACAACAAAAGTACACTCACATTCTTATCATGGGTGATTTCAACGTACATTGTTTAGAAGCCCCTGCCACAACCGGCGAACAATTCAAAACCGATTTACAAGATCTAGTAACTACTGCTCCTCTTTACAACCACATCACTTTGCCCACACGGTTCAGAACTGGTAACAGGCCATCTGTGTTGGATCTTGTGCTTACCAACGAGGAGCATATGATTGATGCGTTGGTTTTAGACTGCCCGCTGGGTCGCAGTGATCACGCAGTCATCAGTTTCAACTTCGTCTGCTATGCAGAATATCGGAATGATAACGATGATACTGTGCGAACCATCACAAGGTACGACCGACTCGCACAGCTAGTCAGCGCCACAACATGGTCTTTCATCGAAGAAGAATCCCCAGAAGTCGCCTGGCTCGAGTTCGTCAAAACATTCAGTCAGCTGATTGCACAGGCTTCAGAGATAAAAGCTTGCAATAAGTGCAAATCCGTTTCTTTCGTCAGGAGCAGAACCCGAAAATGGATGGCAGTACGCAACGCAGCATGGCGAGTGTACAAAGAAGCTCCAGCACCAGAAACGTGGGACAACTACGTAGCCCAACGTAACCACTGCACTCAACTGTTAAGAGAAGACAAAGCCGCCTATCAGCAGAACATCGCAAAAACCTTCAGTGCTAACCACAAACTGCTGTACAAGCACGTTAATAGCCTACGAAAGGTGAGGCAAGGATTTCCTCCACTCAAGACGGCTGAGGCCCAACAAGAACGTCTATGGAAGCTGCAAACGCGCTGCAGATGCAATACGCCCCCACGTTTCAAAGGGTCTTGCCACCAAGCGAT